TCTAACCCTTTGGGGAGGGGATAGAAATAGAGAGCATTCGCACTTCTCACACGACATGAAAGTCAGGCATCCGCTACAGGTCGTATCTCTGCTTCCAACCACACAACTGCCCCAAGGGGACACGGGAACATGCAGAACTGAATGGAGACTAACACTGACCACTGGGCAACCCTCCCCGCATTATCAGCCCTCGCAGCACCGCGGACCTCTGCTTCCTGTCCTCATTGCAGTTCGGTTTTACACTTGCTTGTTACTTGATTGCTTACTACCTGCAGGCACTACTCTGAGCACTTTACATGTGCTACTTTTCTTTTCACCATTATTGTCCCCATTTTACACAGAAGGAAACTGAGGCCTAGAGAAGTTAAGAAACTTGCCCAAGGTTGCCGAGCTCGGAAGTGATGGAGCTAGGCTTGACCTCTGGCTCCAGAGGCATCACTCTCAAAATGAATGAATGAAGGTATACTCCCCATTTTCTAAATAAACCTACTATCTCTTATTAGGACTATCTAATTTTATTTCTGTAGAACCTGTTTCTCATACATCATATTTCTAATATTTTGATTTTTTTATTATTATAAATAGAAATTTTTAACTATATTTCCTAATCAATTATTTGAGATATCAAGATTTACCTGTTTGTAACTTTGTAAACTTTTTATCATTTTATTTTAGTTTATTTTATCATGATGAATGTACTCTAAAATGCCCCTCCCCTATTTCCTCCATCCCTCCACCCACCTTCCCTCTGATAACCATGAGTTTGTTCCCTATAGTTAAGAGTCTGTTTCTTGGTTTGTCTCTCTCCCTAGTTTCCTTTGTTTGTTTTGTTTCTTAAATTCCACATATGAGTAAGATCCTATAGTATTTCTTTCTGACTTATTTCACTTACTATAATACTCTCTAGCTGAATCGATGGTGTTGCAAATGGCAAGATTTCATTCTTTTTATGGCTGAATAGTATTCCATTATATATATATTTATCTTCTTTATCCATTCATCCATCAGTGGACACTTGGGCTGCTTCCATAGTTTGGCTATTGTAAATAATGCTGCAATAAACATAAGGGTGCATGTATCCCTTTTAGTTAGTGTTTTTGTGTTTTTTGGGTAAATAACCAGTAGTACAATTCCTGGATCATAGGGTAAGTTCGATTTTGGGGCACCTGAGTGGCTCAGTCGGTTAAGCGCCCGCCTTCAGCTCAGATGAGCCCCACATTGGGCTCCTTGCTCAGCAGGGGACAGTCTACTTCTCTCTCTCTCCCTCTCCTTCTGCCCTTCCCCACCACTCATTCTCTCTCTCTCTCTCTCTCAAATAAATAATTAAAATCTTAAAAAAAGGGTAGTTCTATTTTTAATTTTTTGAGGAACCTCCATACAGATTTCCACAATGGCTGCACGAATTTGCATTCCCACCAACAGTGCAAAAGATTTCCCCTTTCTCCACATCCTCACCAACATGTGGTTTCCTGTGTTGTTAATTTTAGCCACTCTGACAGGTGTGAGGCGATATCTCATTGTAGTTTTGATTTGCTTTTCCCTGATAATGAGTGATGTTAAGCATCTTTTCATGTGTCTATTGGCCATCTGGATGTCTGTAACTTTGTAAAATTACTGAACTCTCTCACTAACTGTGATTTCAATTCTCCATTATTTTAGCTACATAGTTTCTTTTTTTTTAAAGGTTTTATTTATTTATTTGACAGAGAGAGAGCAAAAGCAGGCGGAGCAGCAGGCAGAAGGAGAGGGAGAAGCAGACTCCCCGCTGAGCAAGGAGCCTGACTCGGGACTCGATCTCAGGACCCTGGGATCATGACCTGAGCCGAAGGCAGATGCTTAACCGACTGAGCCACCCAGGTGCCCCTATTTTAGCTACATAATCTCTTAATTTCTATAAATAATAATTTTGTCTCCTCCTTTCCAACATGAAGAAATCATCTTTCTCAACCAATTTTTATTGTTTAAATTTAATTTTTTTATTTTAATTTGACCTTAATCACAACTTTTTAAACTACATCCAAAGACATGTACTGCCTATCTTCAGTCTCTCTTTACCACCTAACCCCTCAGGCCCAAGCCGTCTGCCATGACACCAATAGAGCCACTTTTCTAAATCACAAATATACCTCTTTCTCTCTAATACTAGAAGTCTGCACCACCTACATGTTTTATAGCTCAGCATAATTGTTACCTTTTATAATATGGCCCCAAACTACCTTTAAATCTTCATTTCAACCAGGATTCCAAAATGCCCCTCACTTGTGACTCCTTTTCTCATGATTTGCCCAGATGGTCCTTCCCTATTTTCTTCCCTGGGACAATGGTTTACTTCCTGGGGCCAAAACACCTGCTGCCTCTTCTCGGGACCTCCCAAGCTCTCCCTGCCATTTCACCCCTACTCCTCCTGTATCTCCAGGGCACCAAGCACAAACCTCTGTCACGACACCTGTCAGAGCCCAACTGGAACGTGGGTACTCATTTAGAGCAGAGGTCAGCAAAATTCTATGGAGCTTCAAATGGTAAATATTTTAGGCTTTCTGGGCCATATTTGATCTCTTGCATTTTTTCCTTACGTTTTAATAATATAAAAATGATTCTTAGCTCATAGGCCATTAAAAAAAAAAAAAAAACAGGCCACCGGCTATGGGCCATAATTCACCTATTCCTGGTTTATAAGTTCGTCTCTCCCACTGGATAGTAAGCTACCTGAGAGAGGGGACCATCTCTTATTCACTTTTGTATTCCCCAGCTCCTGCCCCAAAGAAGGTCTTCAATCCTTGAAGTCAACTGAACTGAAACACCAATAATTAATTTATCCTGATGACTCAAATACATCCCTAGACAATTTCCCCAAATCTTGAACCATTTAACAAAAAGTCATTATGCATTTTGAGTCTCTCAGGCATCTCTGGGCCTTAAAAGTAAGCTATATCTCCAGGTGAGGGGGGAGGTGATGCTTTCTGCCTCATCTAGTAAGAAAACCTCTGATGTTCAGCCAAGGAGCCTCTCCCTCCTCAAAGGCAGCAAAAGTGCTTCTCCTCTGAGAGACTAGACTGTTCCCCGAGCTCCCACGAGCTCGGAGCTCCCTGAACTCCAGCAAACTCCTGCTTTTCAAATAGTCAAATCAATATTTTTTAAAAGATTTTATTTATTTGATAGAGAGAGAGACACAGCGAGAGAGGGAACACAAGCAGGGGGAGTGGGAGAGGGAGAAGCAGGCTTCCTGCCGAGCAGGGAGCCCAATGTGAGGCTCGATCCCAGGACCCTGGGATCATGACCTGAGCCGAAGGCTGATGGCTTAACCATCTGAGCCACCCAAGTGACCCTCAAATAGCCGAATCAATTTCTCATCTCAAGAAATGATCTAGACTTGATGGTGTTTGGAATACTTGCCAGATATCCAACCTAGCTGCCAACAATAGCTCTACCTCCCATCTCACCATAACTGGGGAAGAAGCATTTTGCTAAGTCATTAAGTACCAGAGAATCGCTATCCCCCTGCTCCCTGGTTCTCCCAACCAGAAGAAGTGCTCCAGAAAAGTGACAATCAGCCCTCCCTGGTTAAGGAACCAACACTGTGAAGTTTTTAGAAAAGAGCAGCACTTTACTGCACAATCTCTGGCTTAACTTTGAGGCCTCAGTGCCTGGCTTCTGGGGCTCCGACAGCATGAGCTAGAAAGAAAGCGGTGAGCAGGCAGAGCCATTACTAAGGAGGAAATAGCCCATGGCAGACCTGCTCTGTGAGGCTGTGAGTCCAGGACTGTCTCCACAGGAACGAGGCAAACTTGAGGCCCATTCCACTCATATCTACGTCAGGCAGGCCCCTCTGGGCCTAGAAAGGCAAAGCACCAGAAGGTCTGGTCAGCATCAAACACAACCCCCCCCCAAAAATAAAGCTGGCCAAGAGCTGGATATGCTGATGGGCTCTCCCCCTGCAGGCCAGGGTTCAGGGGGGGAACCCCAGGTCCAGGAAGCATCTGGAGTGCAGAAGAGGAAAGAAGCCAGTCAGAGTGAGTCACCCTGAAGGGGGCAGGGCCTACCTAGTACAGCCCCCAGTTCCTGGAGCCCCACATGGGTTTCAACAAAACAGACCCCAACCCCACTTCCTGGAGGAGGTGAGGAACGTAATATGCTCTAGAATGGAGATAAGGGTGCCTTTTAGGTGGAAACTCACCTTCCCCAGGCAAAATAAGCAGTCCCAAAGGACCAGGTCTGTGACTGGTCACACAGAGGGCTTGGCTTTCTAGACCTTAGTTGTCCCCAGGAGAAATCATCATTTCCCACACAGAAGCTCCTGAACTCACATGATGTGTTTATGAACTGACATAAACTGACATACGAACTGCCCAGCACAGAGTCACATCAACCCAGCCACCTCCAGCCAACCAAGGGAGCAAGGACACGGAACTCCACTCTCAGCAGCCTCACCCACCCACACGTATGCTGCTCCAGGCTCCTCCTGGAGGGGCTTCCCAAGCACAGGGAAACCCACTGTGCGCAGTAAATGCAAAATCAGAAGAATTACAATGCGCTCATAAGAAGAGTGCTAAGATCACAAATGGAAACTCAGGCATGAAAAATGACATGCAGCAAGTGCACGCGGAATGGGTCCGAACCAGCTTGATAGCCGTGGAGACGCAGTTGACTCTTCCAGCAGAGGCGTTTACAAGCAGCCCTTTCAACCTGGCCTGTGTACAAATGGAAGAGCTCCCTTGCTCACAATCACCCTTGGCTCACAACACGTTCCAAGCCGCTGGGGGCCTGCTCTGTGTCCTCTCCGCGCCGGCCTCGCCACACTAGCCTGGCTCACGCTAGTGACGAAGGAGAGAGACGTTTGCTCCTGAAAATTAGGGGGTCCGGTTAAATGGTGGGACTGCCACCTACACATGGAAGCAAAGAAACCAACCCAAATAAAACTTTAAATCAGTCAACTAACAGCGCTTTACTAATCATGCAAAAAAGTAGATATAAAATAGAGAATAGAAGGTGTGGTACGTTACCCAAAAGCCCTGCCAAGGACCGCATGTCCTTCTCCATCAGCATGTAAATCTCTTCCTCTGAGAAGCGGCCAATGCCGTGGCCGTGCATCTCGCGCTTCACAATTCCTTTCGTTATGTGGCACACGACCCACCTCAGCAGGTTACTGAAGGGACCGCCACCACTAAGAGAGAGCATCTTCCGGGTCTCATTGAGATTGTCCACCCACTGGCAATAAGCTAACGTCCTGGAATTGTGTGGAAACAGGTTACTACTGGGCATTAGATGTATGTCAGCTTCTCAGAGTCCATTTCCAGTGAGTGCGTCACAAGTCAGAACACTCTAGAGGAAATGAGCCAGAGCAGCTTTACAAAGAGCAGTCTCTGCAGATATGACAACAGCTTCTGGCCAGTGCCTAGACTTCGGGTCTGTAAGAGAAACTAAAACAAATCCAGATAACGATGCCATGCTACAATTCCACCAAACATCTCCGGGCCCCCGCCCTCAGATCCACGCCCCTCCCCCACCTCCCAAGGCCGGCTTCTGCATCTTCTTAGGCAACCCCACAGAAAGCAGGAGAAACCCACTTCCAAAGGTTTTGAGGCAGAACCGTGCGTACCCCTGGGGACACCAGGAAGGAGGCACCGAGACTACAGGGCTGGCTTCATTCTCGTTCTTGATCTGAGGAATGGGTATGCAGATATATGCTCTGTGTTCATTAATTAAGCTGCACCTTTTTGTTTTGCACAATTTGTGTATGCATTTTGGATTTCACCGTATCAAAGAGTTGTTTAAAAAAAAAAACTTTTGCCTTTTTGACAGAGGATTACGGAGTAGATATACCTATCCAAGGTTGGTATAAACTATATAAATTATAAATATTATGTATATGATTTGCTCTCCAGAAAGTCTGGAGAACTGTTTCAGTTTGTGCTCCTGATCTCTAAAGTGAATACAAAGACCGAAGGAACTCAGTTGAGTCACTTTCCCATCTGGGGGGTGCTTGTGGCCAACTCTCCTGTCCAGGTGTTGCCATGGAACACGGAGACACAGCTGAGCAGCAACTCAGTTCATGTGGGCTGCCGGCTACGACACTCGGGCCTTGGCTGATTCTGGGCTCTGAACCTATGCAATCGCAGGAATGTGTCTCTATGGCTAATAGTGTCGGTACACAGAAATTAAAAGGGGTTCCTACTGACAGCTGAGAAAAATGTAGCTGTGGGAGTGCCAACAGAAGATATTTTAGTTTTTCCCCATAACGAGCAAAAAAGATGTACTGGCAGTCGTCTCTCCTCCTAGTGTTGGTTCATAGAGCAATAATGGCCACTTCGAAAAAATCAAAAGAGTGAAAAATATTTTTACAGAGAAAACACAAGGAATTATAATAAATGATAGCTATTTTCCACCTCAATTTTTTAAAGAAAAAAAAAAAGTCCCTGAAATGTTGATCATTTTGTATAGTCCTACTCTTTCCACTGTTCTTTCCTCTACAAAAAAGAAAATAAGAAACAGAAGATCTCTCTAAAAGTTTTTAAGCATTCCTGATTTTTACTGAAAAGTCCTACAACCAATTTCAACATAACTCTCTGCACTATACCCAAAACTCTTCTTTATTACCTTTTTAAAATAATGCCTATAAATCTTGTTAGAAAGCTTTGTGTAGGGGAACCTGGGTGGCTCAGTCGTTAACCATCTGCCTTCAGCTCAGGTCATGATCCCGGGGTCCTGGGATCGAGCCCCGCGTCGGGCTCCCTGCTCCTTGGGAGCCTGCTTCTCCCTCTCCCACTCCCCCTGCTTGTGTTCCCTCTCTCGCTGTGTCTCTCTCTGTCAAATAAATAAATAAAATCTTAAAAAAAAAAGAAAGCTTTGTGTACTTCTTTTTAATAAGTCTCTCAAAATAAAGTATTGAGTCAAGAAATGGATTTTGCTGAATATAGGAAAAAGTACATCGCAACAGTAACTAATACATACAGACCAGAGAAGTCAATGGATCTTTTGACATAAAAGATCTCACATTTACTCTAGTAAATTCTTTATAAACATGCAAACTAAATACTTTCCTACTTGCTCTTCTTTTTACACCTGCAGTAATTCAGGTATCAATTTTCTCATTCCATTAGAATAATTCAGCACTTTGATTCAAGTTGTACTAGATTGAAAGGCACAATAAACGAGCTAGACCATCCTTGACTATTTTGCAAGTCCATGAACTGAGAATAAAACTAGATTATCCCAAAACAAGCGTGACCAGGTCATAAGAGCATCCAGGAAGTGTCTAAAGAGTAAAAATGAGGAATGTGGTGGTTCTAAACTGACAGGTTGATGTGAAAAAATACATTCTTTGTAGATGAATTACACGGGTTTCATCATAAGCCTAAGTGATCCTGAGGGATGAGCAGAAGCTCACCAGGCAGAGCAGAGGAGGAAGGGTGTGCATGAGGAGCACCGGCCAGGGTGCACAGGATGCCTGGGCAGAGGAGGAAGGGTGGGCCAGGACCAGATCCGGATGCGCCTGAGACAAAGGGTGCTGAACTCTATTTTGCAAGCAAAGTTGAACCACTGAAAGGTTTTAAGGAGACAAGAAATGTAATCAGGTTTGAGGCAATGTGAAGGAAGGGTTGGAAATGGAGAAACCACCAGTAGGAAGGCTGGCTAGAAGACTCTAGCAAGACCTAAGAACTAGGGCAATGGGGGTGGGAGGGAGGGTGTACAGGGAATGCAGAGCAGAAACTCTGGGGTATGAGCAAAAGAGTCTATGTACCAAAGTACAAGGAGAGATTAAGTCTTTTCTCTCAGGCCGATGACTTGAGGGGATGATAATGCCATTAACCAATATGGGCAGGTACACACGAGGTATGACAAATGTAGATGATGAAAGACGCATCAAGCTGTTGCATTTGAAGGCCCCATGAAACCCCCAGATGAGAATGTCCAGAAGGTTGAGAACTCAGGAGACAGGTTTAGACTCAAGATAGAGAACTTGTGGGTGAGGGCATGTCAGCGAGAGTGCTAAAGCTGTCAGAGGAGAGGAGTCACCTAAGGAAGTTGCTAGGGTGAGGAGTGGTGTTAGGGAATCCACAGGTCAAGGGCAAGTTAGAAGGTGAGAAGGCCAGGCTGGAAGGGCCAGCTTGGAGAGAAGCAGAGACACCTCTTGCTCTGAGATAGAGAGGAGGGGAGTGTCACAAGGGGTAAGGGGCTGCAGAGAGGTTCAGAGTTCCTGCCAGGTGACTTCAGTTTCCTCCGTAGAGCAGGAAATGGGGGCATGTGCCCAGGATGAGGATGCAATGATGGACAGAGAGCTTTGCACAACTAATGGGTTCACGTAGCAGATGGGGATGGAAGAGGCAGCTGTCCTGGGTTGCACGGCTAAGCTGGAGGAACGCCCACTAATGCAATGGCATAAGGTTCTCTACCTCCATTAATGTGGGTGGAATGGAGGACACAGAAGGGGGAACACTGGGTTGATCTGGAATTTTGCAGCTAGAGGTTACCTGAGAAGCTGTCTGGTCTTCCTCTCTTCTCTTTTCCACCCTGCTCTTGATTTCTTTCCTCTTTCACTCCCTGTGCCTAATACTGCAGCCCAGTGTCAGGGAAGAGAAGGAAATGATGGCCAGCCAGGCTCTGTAAGGGTCAATCCCTATGAAGTGAGTACAAACTTTAAACACCAAAGAAAATGGGTAATTTATGGAATCCTACATTAATCACTACAGGCAGCAAACCTCATTTACACATGCTTCCAAATCCTTAAAACCAAGAATCCACCTCCTTCCATAACCAAGCTTCCGGCAAACTGTGAACACTTGACGAAACTACTCTCATTCAAATCAACGATACCTCCTTGTTGCAAAATCCAAATAAACATTCCTTCTTTTTTTTTTTTTTCTTTTCAAGTAGCCCAACACGGGGCTTGAACTCATGACCCTGATATCAAGACCTGAGCTGAGATCAAGAGTCAGATGCTTAATTGACTGAACCACCCAGGTGCCCCTAAACATTCTTTGTATATTTCTCTTTCTTGAACTGTCTGCAACATGTGACACTGTCCGTGTCTTTCGTAGAAGAGCTCTCCCTTAGCTTACATCGCTACTGCTTTTCCCACCACCTCGTGCATGTTCCCAAGATCTTCATCACTATTCTTCCTATTTCTTACTCCACACTTGTGCCATGATCTAATTCACACCCGTGATTTCACACTGATGATTCCCAAACCTACACCTAGCCCAGCTCTTTCTCCTGACACCCAGGGATCCATGTGAGGGGTCCTCAGGAACTGCGAACCCGTATTTCCAAACTTGGACTCATGATCTTCCTTCCCTGCAAATCTGCTTCTCCTCACCCAAGCCAGAAAGAATACCAGGACTCGTTCTTCACTGCTCTCTAACCTTCGTTCCTGATAGCCGGTCACCCTGTGAATCTGCCCTTTTCTCCAACTCAATTAGCATGTAGCTCAGCCCTTCATCATTTCTTGGCCCTGAGCACAGTGGCCTCCTAACAGGTCTCCTGACATCCCCTAAGGCCCTTCAGAAATCCATTTGTCCCAAGGCAGTCACAAAGAGCTCCTAAAACACAAATCTAGTCCTATCAGGCTGCTTCTCGGAGCCATTCATGAACCCCCCCTAGCTCCTGAGCTCGGCACACCGCCCCCACTCCCTACAGTCTGACTCACACTCGGCTGGCCATTCTCTGGCCCCATCCCACCTCCCCCCCGCCACTGCCTCCCGTGCACCTGCCACACAGAATTACAAGTGCCTTCCCAGGCTCCTCGGTCTTACCTCTGAACTTTTGCCGATGCTGCTCCCTCTGCCTAGATATCCTAATCTTTCCCCTGGCGCCCAGCCCCTTCACCCACCACTGACAGTCCCTCGTTTCGTTTGTGATACCATCTCCTCTGGGAAAGCCTTTCCCTCATCACTCCAGCAGGTGCTGGCTGCCTTTCCTCAGTTCTTCAAAATCTCCCCCAGCACCCACCGTTATGATGGCTCGACGTCTCCCTCGGCCTGGGAGTCACCGGAGGATGGAGACAGCGTCTTACCGCCTCGCTTCCCCCAATCCAGCATGGAGCCTGGCCACTAGGCGTCAGTCATTCATTAAGTTTACTGAAAGAATGAATTATTGATTTAAATGTCAAAAAGCTTCACTTCTGAGCCAGCTACTGCTACATAGCATTTCTAAGGGTTGACAATATTTAAACAGAATGAAGGAAAAAAAAAGAGAAATGCCTTTGAAGAATGAAGAAGGGGCTGACTCTTCTCTTCTGAGATCCGTGTCACCCTCTACTCGGAAGAGGCCCACTGCACAAGGAGTCGTGAATCTTGAGCTGGTGAGGGGAAGGAGGACCAATGTGGAAACTAGACGAGGCTGAACAATTAAGTCATCATTCTGAGAACCTCTTCCAGAAAGTTGATACTCATTTCTTTTAAACAACTGATGTACCTGATCTCTTCTGCAAAATGGGGTCAAGGTTTCTCTTAAAGATGGATTACCTTAGTCAGAACAGAAGAATAAATACTGTTCAATATTTTTAAAGGAGATCAAGAAGACAGGAAAGAAGAGCCGACCCCTGATGCTTCAATGAAGATATCTCTCCTTATAACCTAAAAGGAGCCCTGGCCCGTAGCAGAGATGATATTAACAAGTGGGAAAGTGCAAACCATGGCAATCTACTGTTTGATGAGTGAGCCTTAGCATGTGGCCTTCCTGACCATGGACGCCTTTCTCCATGTCCTGCTCCATCCCTGCCATTGTCTGTTTGTCTTTTAAATGCATGGCGTGCAGGAGCATATGATAAGCTTCTGTGATTTCACCGAGTTGCACAGGCCCTAGACCAGCCCCTCCCAACAGGAACTCTCACTATATCTGAAATTAGGGGCAGGGGGAGCAGGGAAGAGGGAAACACATTAATCCAATTGTAATCAGGCAGAGAGAGATTCCTGGTTTTTAGATAAGATCTTGGGTAAGTCATTTTAGTAAGGATCCTACCTCCCCCATTCAGTGAAACTATATACCAAAAGCCAAATTCAGAATTTAAAAATCATGGCCAACCAAGAAGCAAATTTGAATTCCCTGTTCTAATGCCTATATTTTAATGGATCAAAGTGGTATGACTAGATGGCTTGCCACAGTGCCCTCACGCCTCCCTACAAGACTCTTACCACACCAACGTGTCATATGGAAGAAGCCGTAGTGTCTTTTCCCAAAGCTCAATTTCATTCTACTAATTTGACCCCGTGTTTCTCGTACCGCCCTTCACACCAACTTGCCTGCATTGGATCTAACTTAAGCACTCAGTGGAACAAAGAGGATAAAAACCTGTCTTCCTCACGTTCGATAATAGTCATGCAAGTGGAACACGCTGGTATGGATTTCAAGTTCAAGAAAAACCTCTTTCTAGCATGTGCTTATTTGAACAAACCAGAGTGTGCTTATTTGGACAAACCAGAATTAGAGCCTTGGGATGATGGGATGGTATTTATGTAAAAATGCCAGTTTTCCATTGTCTTTGCTTTTCAGAAAATCATACCTGGAGGGTTTTTACAGTTTCAGGCCAAAATAAACATATCTGAAAACTCCAGATAATTCGAACCAATTGAGTCAAACAATTGATTTCATCTCCTCCACTGCTGTAAACACAGACACAACCTTGGAGATCATGCATTGTCAGAATTTAACAAGCTCTCATGAAAAGCTCATCCTTATATTTTTCTACAAATGGTGGTCCATTTCTCATGCTGGCCCCAGTTTCCATGGGTGCACATTTTGTGTGTGGCTTCTGAGATAAGAAAGGGGGAGCAGGAGAGGAACCTGACGAAGAGTGTCCACAGACTCTCTGTCTCAGGCATTTTCTTACCGGAGGGACAGGGGTCTTTTCTCCTTTGGGATTTAGAGCTCTAGGGAAAGCCTGTTCAAGGTCCCCCAAAGCAAGAACATGGCTAAAGGTTAGGAAACCTTATGAAACAGAAGAAGGCTTGCTTTCCTTCTGCTACTAGGAACCAAAGGGAATTGAAGGAATTAGGAATTTTTTTGAAAGTTCACTGGACATTTGTATCTCTGTCAATATCTGACCTCCCATCTTCACTATTTCTTTCTCAAATTAACCTTTGAAGAGAAACACATGAGAAATAGTAGCTAACCGCCCCCCTCTGAAAATGTATTTTGTAATCAAAAAGTTGATTAGAGAAACAAAATTATCCTTAAAAGAGTCGATGTGGGGCACCTGGGTGGCTCAGTTGGTTAAGCGACTGCCTTCGGCTCAGGTCATGATCCTGGAGTCCCGGGATCGAGTCCCACATCGGGCTCCCTGCTCAGCAGGGAGTCTGCTTCTCCCTCTGACCCTCTTCCCTCTCCTCTCTCTCAAATAAATAAATAAAATCTTTAAAAAAAAAAAAAGAGTCGATGTGTGACCTAAGCCACTCCCCCAAGCACTTGGGTGTTTATGGTCCATAAAATTAAGATTCTTCCCTAGCAGGGTACCACCTCTCAACTCCCACTCACCCCTCCCAACCTCCCCTCCCCCACCAAGAGCTGCCTCCTATCAAGTATTAGCTGGGGCTGGTGCAGGGAGAGAAGGGGCGGGGAAGAGCAGAAGATGAACTTCCACCAGGGAGTAAATATATAGAACTAGAACGTCTGCACACCCAGAGCCAAAAGCAGGGACAGGTGGCTCTTGGGAGTCTTGCTGGATCAAAGTCTTTCTGACTGGAATATACATTTCATGAACCACTATAAAAATCAAAGAGTTGTAGCACAAGTACTAACGAAAATGAAAGGTGACTTTCAGCGTCTTTTCAGGCAGCTCACAAAGCAAGAGCTCTCCGCATTAATGGGCCCATCAGTCAAACAAGGTAGCACTTTGGAGGACTGCATCCAAAGAAGGCACAAAGGGTCAGCGTGGCCCTGTGCTGGTTCTTCATTTCCCTCAATGGCTGCAGAGTGGGGACTGGAACGTGGCAAGAGGGAAGATGGGCTCTGTCCCACGGACTTTTCCCTGAGGCTCAGCACATCACATGCAATCATCCATCTGTCCCACACTCTAACCCCTGCACTCTAGAAGATGGGAGTCCCAACAGTTCTCCACAGGTATCCTCAAGAAAAGACCGGGTTCATCCAGGAACATGGAGTCTGTGATGACTTCCAGGCTAATCTGCACCCCTGCCTCCACTCTCTGCCAGGTTCCCTCCTTGCTCCCACCCCCCCACCCCCTCACCTTTACAGTGAGAGAGCAAAGAGAAGCGGCACTTCAGGTATGCCCTGGAATAAACTGGGCAAGAACCACAAGCAGAAAGAGAAATAGAGAGTCACTTAAAATCCAAGAAAGGGAACAGCAAGTTTTCTGTTTAGAAAGAATAAGCAAGTTTCCATTTAGAAAGAAAGCCAATTGATAAGATCGGAAGGTGATGAGGAAGAACCTTCTACAATCAACCCTTCACTGAATGGGTGTCTCTCAATGGGGGAGGTGAAAGCTACTGGGTGAGCGATGACCCAGGAGTCACAATGACTGCCCAAAAAGTGGGCTTAACAATTCTTAATTAAATCTTTGGAACAAGAAAAGTTTAGAGAAATCAGGAAGAAAATTTCTCTTATCTACTGGGGTGTCCAAAAAGGTGTGCTAAAACTCCAGAAAATGGATGAAAGGCAAAGAAAAAGCCCACATGACAATGAGTTTGTAAACCAAGAAGACCTGTGCCTGTTTAACTCACAGGTCCTAGGCAACACCATACCGCACGCAGAACATGGGCAACTCCTCCACACAGCACGTGATGGTTCAGACAAGGGACGTAACCTAGGAGTCAGCCAGGCGGGACAAAGATACTCAGAAGGCACTAGCACACCTGACTTCTGGAACACGGAGAGGCTCTTGTCATCTAAGGAAAACTGACGATAATTTTACAAAGCTTGAATAATTCATTTCACCTAAGACTTCTATCCTTAGTCCTCTGTTCCCTCCTCCAGGTGTCTGATGTAATAGTATTTTACTTCCGTAATTTGTGCGGGTAAACAGCAGAGTCAGCTGAAATATCTTCCTCACCTCGGTGAGCTGCAGTCTAGATCAGGGGTTAGCAAAACACAGCCCAAAGACTAAGAAGTTTCTACATTTTTAAATGGTTGGAGGGGGGCCTGGGTGTCTCAGTTAAGTGTCCAACTCTTGCTTTCGACTCAGGTCATGATCTCAGGGTCGTGAGATCGAGCTCAGAGTGGAGCCTGCTTGAGATTCTCTCTCTCTCTTTCTCTAAAATAAATAAATAAATAATAAAAATTAAAAAGGTAAAAAAAAATTTTTAAATACATTTTTAAATGGTTAGGGGAAAAAATCAGAAGAATAACATTTTGTATTAAACGAAATTCAAATGTCAGTGCTTTTATTGTTTCGTTGAAAGAGTCCTGCTCATCATTTCCGTGTCATTCATCCATGGCTGCTTTTGCATGACAATGGCAGAGTTTAAGGAGCTAAAACAGAGCCATGGCCTAAAACAAAGCCTAAAATATGTGCTAGCTGGGCCTCTATAGAAAATGGCTACTCTTGGTCTAGATACCTAGAAACTTAATGGTCATAACTTTGACCCCTAAATCAGTCAGAATGTAGAAAACTTTGAAGAGGTTGGGGAGTGTCTGAAAAGTGAAACAGAACTTGGGCTTGGTCCAAAGGCCGGGGACAGGCCCTGGGCACTCACCCAGCACACCCAGGGGACTCACCAGTAGAAGTGCTCCTCCACCATCTTGGTCACTGCTCTGGAGATGGCTCTTTCGTGAGGGCCAAGGTTTTTGTTTAAATTCACTCCAAGTTTCTCTTCCAGAAAGTCAATTATGAATTCTGTGCCAGAAACTTTTTCATGATTATATTCAATCCAAGGCATTTTCCCTTGAGCAGAAAGTTTTCCACCAAAATAATTCTAAGCAGAGTAAATTTTAAAAAGAGAAAAGCAATGTTTTATTTAAATTTCACTGTATGGTTAACAGAAACAAACATTCCAACCCTATATTTGATCATGGCTGTACTTGCTCAAGTGAATGAACTCAGCACATAAACTCTTTAAGACCATAAATAGTCACTCTTGAAGAAAAAAAAAAAGGATTTACCTCACATGAAGATATTACTTTACTCCCATAGATTTTATCATGAGCTCTGGTATATTGTTACAAAAAAGACCAGAGAGGAGAGGTAGTGCTGAAATGATCCTGGTAACAGTTGGTCTAGTTATAATGTAAGAACAAGCCACAGATGCAAAACAGTGAAAGTAAACTGTAATAAGGCTCACATTGGCCAGGCTGCTAACCAAAGACCTCATCTGAAACCCACCAGCTTATGCCTAAATAATACTTAATACCACTACACTGCAAAAAAGTGGTCCCAGAAATTATAACACTTAGGTGTAAGAATGTGCATCCAATAGATTCAACTCCAGTACCAGCTAAAATGTAGATTCCTGGGCCCCAGCTCAGATCAGAATCCCAGGAACGGTGCCCAGAACTCTGTATCTATGATAAGTTCCCCTCTGATTGACACTCGTGCTAGAATCTTACAGTGTCTCAGAGGACATGGTCCCAGATGGGGTGGAGTCGGGGTGAGGGAGTCACACACTTTATGAACACTGGGAATTAAGAGTGACATTTGCTGCCCCCACTCCTTGGCCAGGCACTAGACATTTCCCTTGATGTTGCCCAGGAGAAATGTCACATACCTCTAAAAGTTGCTGGTATATCAAACATTCTTGTAATTTGTACACTAACGATGTAAATTTACCATATAACACAGCACCTGTTTCAGATTAACTCTTGATACCACCCATATCATCCTAACACATCCCCTTCAGGACTCTTGTCATTTGCAGACAGATTCTACCCTGCACACCGACATCAGAGGAAACTGTTGCAATGCAAATGAGATACAAGATCTCCGCTGCTCAAAAGTACACAATGGTTTTTAATGGGTCTATTCTAACCCCTTCCACATAGCAGTCTAGGCCTATACCATCCAGCAGCTGCCCGTCTGCCCAGCCTCCTTGCTATCAACCCCTCCAGTCTTCTGAATTCCAACTGCCCACACCCAAACACATCAAAGTCTTTGCCACCTCTCTGACTTTGTACATGCTTTACCTTTTATAGGAATCCTTTTCCCCAACCTCTGCCAAGTCATATCCATCCTAAAATATTTAGTTCAAATTTCACCATGTTGGTGAACTATTTCCCCAAGGTGCAACCATCACTTCCTTTCCTCCATGCTTCCACTGTACAGTGTATATTCCCCTCTTCTTATAATATTAGTGTTTGTACCTCTGCCTTTCCCTCTAGACCACCCCCCCGTCCCTGAGCATTTGGTACATTTTATCTAGACCTCTTTTAAAAACTGGAGTAACAAAAATTAAGTATTGATTCTTATGGAAATGAAAGTTCTAGTAGGTTTTTGTCATCAAAAATTTTATTTTTAGATGCAGAAAAAGTATTTGACAAAATTCAACATCCATTCATGATAAAAAACTCAACAAAGTGGGTATAGAGGGAACATACCTCAAGAGAATAAAGGCCATATATGAAAAACCCACAGCTAACATCATACTCAGTGGTGAAAAGCTGAAAGCTTTTCCTCTAAGATCAGGAACAAGACAAGGATGTCTACTCTTGCCACTTTTATTCAACATAGTACCGGAAGTCCTAGCCACAGCAATCACACAAGGAAAAGAAATAAAAGGCATCCAAATTGTTAAGAGGAAGTAAAACTGTCATTATTAGTAGACGACATGATACTGTATATAGAAAACCCTAAAGGCTCCACCAAAAATCTGTTACAATAAATGGTCTATGGCCATACCACCCTGAATGAGCCCGATCTCGTCTATTAGAATAAATGAATTCAGTAAAGCTGCAGAATATAACATTAATATACAGAAACCTGTTCCATTTCTATACATTAATAATGAAGTAGCAGAAATAAATATTAACAATCCCATTTACAATTGCATCAAAAGAGAAAAAAAAAAACCTAGGGATAAGTTTAACCAAGGAGGTAAAAGACCAAAACTCTGAAAACTATAAGACACTGATGAAAGACACTGGAGACTACACAAATAAATAGAAAGATATACCATGCTCATGGATTGGAAGAATTAATATTATTCAAAGGTCCATACTACTCATAGCAACCTACAGATTCAATTCAATCCCTACCAAAATACTATTAATATTTGTCAAAGAACTGGAATGAATTATCCTAATTTGTATAGAACTATAAAAGACCCTGAATAGCCAAAGCAATCTTGGGAAAGAAGAACGAAACTGGAGGCATCACACTCCCTGATTTCAAACTATACTACAAAGGTACAGTAATCAAAACAGTATGGGTACTGGCATAAAAGCAAACACATTGATCAATGGAACAGAACAGAGTGACCAGAAATAAACCCATGCTTATATGGTCAATTAATCTACGAGAAAGGAGGCAAAAATATACAATGGAAAAAAAGTCTCTTCAATAAATGGTGCTGGAAAACCTAGAGAGCTACATGCAAAAGAATGAAACTGGACAACTTTCTTACACTAGACACAAAAATAAACTCAAAATAGATTAAATACTTAAATGTAAGACCTGAGACCATAAAACTTCTTCTTTTTAAAGATTGATGATTTATTTATTTATTTATTTATTTATTTATTTATTTATTTATTTGAGAGAGAGAGCATGAGAGGGGGGAGGGTCAGAGGGAGAAGGAGATTCCCTGCCGGGCAGGGAGCCCGATGTGGGACTCAATCCCAGGACTCCAGGATCATGACCTGAGCCAAAGGCAGACACTTAATGACTGAGCCACCCAGGCACCCTGAGACCATAAAACTTCTAAAAGAAAATGTAGGCAGTAATCTCTTGGACATCAGCCTTAACAATATTTTTCTGGATCTGTTTCATCAGGCAAGAGAAACAAAAGCAAAAATAAACAACTGGGACTAAACTAAAAAGCTTTTGCACAACAAAGGAAACCATCAACAAAACAAAAGGGCTACCTACCAAATAGGAAAAAATATTTGCAAATGATATATCTAATAAGGAGTTAATGTCCAAAATATATAAAGAACTCCTACAACTCAATACTAAAAAAAGAATAATAATAATAATAATCTGATTTCTAAAAGGTCAGAGAACCAGGACAGGCATTTTTCCAAAGAAGATTTAAATAGCCAACAGATGCATGAAAAGATGCTCAATGTCACTAATCATTAGGGAAATGCAAATCAATACCACCATGAGATATTACCTCACACTAGCCAGAATAGCATCAAAAAGTCAAGCAACAACAGGTGTTGGCAAGAATGTAGGAAAAAGGAGGGCACCTGGGTGCCTCAGTTGGTCGGGCGACTGCCTTCGGCTCAGGTCATGATCCTGGAGTCCCGGGATCGCGTCCCACATCGGGCTCCCTGCTCAGTGGGGAGTCTGCTTCTCCCTCTGACCATCTTCCCTCTCATGCTCTCTATCTCCCATTCCCTCTCTCTCAAATAAATAAATAAAATCTTAAAAAAAAAAAAAAGAATGTAGGAAAAAGGAAACCCTCATGCACTGTTGGTGAGAAACTTAATCGGTGCAACCACTACGGAAAACAGTATGGAGGTTCCTCAAAAAATTAAAAACAGGGGCGCCTGGGTGGCGCAGTCAGTTATGTGTCTGACTCTTGGATTTGACTCAGGTAGTGATCTGAGTCATGTAATCAAGCCCCGCATTGGGCTTTGCACTCTGTGCAGAGTCTGCTTGAGTTTTTCTCTCCCTCTGCCCCTCCCCCTGTGTGCACTCTCTCTCTTTCAAATAAATAACAAACAAATCTTTTAAAAAAATTAAAAACAGAAACACCATACAATCCAGTGATTCCACTACTAGGTATTTACCCAAAGAAAACAAAACACTAATTTGAAAAGATATATGCACCCCTATGTTTACTGCAGCATTATTTATAATAGCCAAGGTATGGAAGCAACACAAGTGTCTTATCAATAAGTGAACGCATAAATAAGATGTGGGATGGATAGATGGATGGATGGATGGATAGACAGACAGATAGATAGAATGGAATATTACTCAGCCATAGAAAAGAATGAAATTTTGCCATTTGCAACAATATGGATAGACCTAGAGAGTATTATGCTAAGTGAAATAAATCAGACAGAAAAGACAAATACCATCTCCTTTATATGTGGAATATTATATGTAGAATCTAAAAAAACCAACCAAACAAACCAGAAACAGACTCATTAATACAGAAAACAAACTGGTGGGTGTCAGAGGGAAGGGATGTAGGGATTAGGCAAAATACGTGAAGGGGATCAAGAGGTACAAACTTCCAGTTATAAGATCATGGGGATGAAAAGTACAGTATGGAAAATATAGTCAATAATATTGTAATAACTTTGTATGGCGACAGATGGTAACTACACTTACTGTGGTGAGTACTTTGTAATGTATATAATTGTCAAATCATTGTTGTGCCCCTGAAACTAACATAACATTGCATGTCTATTATACTCCAATAAAAATAAAAATAGGGGCGCCTGGGTGGCTCAGTTGGTTAAGCGACTGCCTTCGGCTCAGGTCATGATCCTGGAGTCCCGGGATTGAGTCCCGCATCGGGCTCCCTGCTCCGCGGGGAGTCTGCTTCTCCCTCTGACCCTCTTCCCTCTCATGCTCTCTATCTCCCATTCCCTCTCTCTCAAATAAATAAATAAAATCTTAAAAAATAATAATAATAAAAAAATAAAATAAAAATAAAAAAGATCAACTGCTTGCTTCCTAGATAAAAAAATAGGAGACAACATTTTAAAGACACTCTGATCATATCTAATTAAAAATTAGATGAATTCAAAAAATATTAAAAAGAGAAACACAAAAATGTTTAAAGTAATTGGCAAGAGTAAGAGA